GAGCATCTCAGGGTATGACTCCCAGTTAAAAACAAAACAAAGCAGAAAAAAGTCCAGAGTTTAGTGAAGAGAATGTAAGAATCTCCTGTTTTTGTTTTCCAGTGGGGAGGTCAAAAACAATAACAACAAGTCTCACAATGGAGATGTTACTGGTGCCCACTTGAGGAAATGGATGAACAATGGGAGGACAGTGCTACAGTACTACAATGGGGAGGTCTTAAATTGCTACGATCTGGCTGTTTTTTAATTTTATGGTGCTAAGGATCAAACCCAGGGCTTCCTACAAGAAAGAGAGGTACACTTCTACTGAATCACAATCCTAGCCTTGGGGTCTTTGGAGCAATAATAAGTCTCCTAATCTTTCTTCTTTTTTAAAAATAATTTCCTTACAAGACTTGAAGGCTCCTCATCCACTCAAACAGTGCGGTTCTTTCTTGTCTTCACTCGCTGACCTGATTATTCTCCCTGGAATTCAGATTTTATTCCTGTCTGACCCGAACCTGGTAGTTTTTACTTGTTGGCATGACTTAACCTTGTTTCTCCTGTCCACACTTTGGATTCTGCATTTAGTATTCTGAGTGCTCCACCCCAGCCCCACTTGGATGCTTATGCTGCTTTTTGACCCTACTACAAGTGCACCAATCGTCACAGGAGCTGCTTAACCAAGTGGAACAGAGTGGGATATTTGTGTTTGGAGAGGGAGCTCCAGTCTATAGCTTTGAAAGCAAGAAATAAAAAACTTGAGCCACTACCCGAGATAGTTTTATTTGCTATGGCACAGAAAAGAGTTTTCTGGAAAATGCTGCAAACTAAATTGAGGAGACAGTCAGAACTGAGCTCCTCTGTGATAATAACCTGCATTTGAATCATGTGACCTTGTTGGCTAGGCATAAGGACAGGGAAAATGGAAGGTTATTAGTGATAGCTCAGATCTTCCCCCCTTTATGTACTGACTGTGCGCCCAGGTCCCTTAGGTGCTTAATGGAGAGATGGTACCGATAAAAGTCACCATGGTGTGTGCTAGCCCACTCTCTTCTTGCTTCTTTGCAATTGTCCTTGGATTCCATGGGCAACTTGAGAGGTCCAAGAATAACATATGCTTAAGTAACTCTTGAATACAGTATGTGTTCTGGAGAAAATTCTTTACCATAAGTCAGTTCAATTAAAGTTCATCTTGACATTTCTACTAAAAATTCTGGGGCACTGATTTTATTCCTTGCTGAGAATAGTATGCCTGTGCATGTGATGTCCCCTGCTTGTAATAAGGGAAGTATAAGAAGAAGACAAAGCTGAAAGAATTTTATAGAGATGGTGCGGAAGCCCCATTCAAATGTGCGTTCAAGAACCAAGCTTTCTGGCGTGAGTGTCTATGCATTCTGCTTATTGTTTAAGTAATAAATACTTGGAGTCAAGTTTTCACTACTTACAACTAAATGTGCATTAACTGAAATATTTCTAGATTAAACTTTTTATTTGTCACAGCATTTTCTCTTAGATGTTGAGTTGAACCCCACATTAATCTTACGAGGCTTTGAACTATAGCTGTCACCTCTGCTGAATTAACTTAATTCCATTTGTTAGTTTACTCAGACCTCAACCCTGTGTGAGAATGACAGCATCTCAATAATTTCCAACAGAAATATGCTCTCAGCAACGCTTTACCTAACACATCTCATTTAACAAAACCAGCATTTTCTTATATATCCTAAACATGGCCTTGTGATCCACTTTTAGGTAGTTAGACTTAAGTGAAGGTTCAAAGGGAGATGATTTAACACCAGAAAAACTACATTTCCCCCTGTTTTTCTTTCTTCATTCATTTTGTGTGAGAGGGAAGGCACTTGCAAGAAGTGCTCAGGGACTAGGATGCCAATCCGGGTGATACTTGGTAAATTGTGGCTTCCCTGGGATTGAATTTAGATTTGTGTATGCTGTTTTCCAACCTCATCTTATCTTTGGAATAAATTTGTACACTGGGGACTATGACACCCATCTTTTGAGCAGCACGAAGTAAGACAGCTTATCAAAGATGGTGAAGAGGAAGAATGGAAGAATAAGATCCTTCATGACATCGTGGGGCAGCAGAATCAACACCAATGTCTGTCTTCTTCCAGAAATCTGGTTGTGAGAAAAATAATTTCTATTTATTTAGGCCACTATTAGTAAAACTTTCCAATATTTACAGGTAGAACACCTTTAATTCATATTTACTAGTATATGAGTAAGTTGGTTGATGAAGCAATATTAACTAATTTTCTCTCAAAGAAAGTTTTGGGGAAAAACTTCCTTCCAATATGATGAATGAATTAAAATCGATGTCCAGGAAATGACTGAGTTAGCCTCCATCACAGTGTTCTTCTCATATCTGCTTCATTTTAGTGGGGGCTCTAAAACTTATGCTGTTCTGGTAGTCAACATAACATATTTTCTATTTTAGGGGAGTGCTTACATATAATAATACAATTTCTAGATCAACTCCTCAAAATGTGTCCTTGGTAGGGCAATTTAGTGTAAATGACCCTTTTACGTTGTCTAAAACAGTGTTTAAAAGCTCAAAGTGTTTTTTCCTCTTTAAGTAGCCCACCTGCTAATTCATTGAAGTTCACAAAAATCATTCAGATATTTAAGAGTAATAGAAGTATTATTAGCTTTGGACTAGGACCTTCTAATATGCTAACTTGTTGTCTGTTAATAATATTTAAGTCATATTCTATCTTTTATTGAGATACATCCTTAATGGATTGTTGGAGAAAATGATACAGAGATTATCAATTACAAAAGGTTGGACCAAAAAGAGGCTCTAAAATTCACTTTATAATGAGAGATGTCACTGTTACCCAAATTTCCTTTACATGCCCAGAGATTTATTTCACCATGCTCTTGATTACTAAGCATCCACACGAAAAACACTGTTGGAGAAGGGCATATTGTTTTTTTGTTGTTGTTGTTGCTGGTGGTTGGTTGGTTTTGAGGGCCACACATGGAGATGCTCAGAGGTTACTCCTGGCTATGGAGCCAGAAATCATACCTAGAGGTGCTCAGGTGACCACATGGGATGCTGAGGACTGAACTCGCTTAGGCTTGTGTAAGGCCGGTGCCCTACCCACTGTACTATCTTTCTGGCCTCACACATTGGCTTTTATGAGGAAAAAATAAGAATTCCACCAGTGTTCTTCTCATGGGGGAACCCCATAAGCCAAATCACAGAGAATGGAAAAATTTTATGCCACCTTTCTATAGCCTCAATTGTACTTACATGCTCAGCTATCTACACAGCAGAGGCATCTTCCATATTATATGTGCCTAGAAGATGCCAAGTGTAAGTCGTCTTCTGAGACTCCCGGCAACAAACAAAAATGAAGAGCTAAAAATTTCCCTAAGTGACTTTGATATAGACACCAACGGACAAGCATATTTGGGAGGGAATCAAAATGCTTATTTGATTGAATGTACTCTTTCTGCATTTATTCTGATGTTCATTCTCTGAAAGCATAAGAATCCTTCTAATGTATAGGGATGGATAACAGATGGCATAACAGGAATTGCTCATCTAATACATACATTGCAGAACAGATTCATTTAATCATTCATATGTCAAATATTTATTTAGCACATAGTATGTGCCAGGTAGTGCCTTTGGACTATGAGAAAATAAGAATAATGATAAAGCCTCTGGTTTCAAGAATGTCTCAGCCTAATTAGAGTGGCAAAACTGAAGATAATTGCAAGAACCTCTGTCATCAGTATTATTCTAAGAATAAAAAAATACTTATTTTTTCCTCTATTCCCTTAACTTTTAAGTCTATCCCAATCAGCCCATCTGTTTTTCATATAGTCCTTTTGTCCTCTGTTTTCTTGATTTATTTTCTTTATGTCTCTCTGTTGAGATCAGGAGTCTAATTTTAATTTCCAGTAATTTCTTTAAAATATGGGAACAAGCCTAGGCAGTGAATGTTTGAGGTTTTCACTCTCCTGTGATATGTCATACTTAATTAACTGTCACCTTCACTATTAATATTAACTGGGATATTAATTTGATGAATTTTAATTTCTCTTAATCATAGCATTACACTGATCATTCATTGGATGCCTCTTTATAATAATGCAGAGTGCTGAGGAAAAATATTAATAGTATATTAAGGTGTTTTTTTAAAGAAAAGCTCTTTAGTAATTGCATATTTTCCTGTGAAGAATATCTGCTTCTTGAACATGCGTAGGCACCTCAATTTCCTTGTTAGTAAATGCATATTTTGTCTCCATCACCTCCTGACTCTTTAAATGAAAATGCTTTTGAATTTAAGAAATGTTTCTCTCCAGGAGAACTCTCCAGGGTCCGCTGCATTATCTGACTGGTGAAACATCTGTACTACTAATGGAAGCATCAGAAATATAAATGTTTTGCTCTATTTCTTTGGTAGCAGTCTGTGGGGAGGTGGTACCCAGGAGGAAAGAGCTGAGTTCAAGGGCAGTTGATCATCAAAGAAGTCATGTGTATTTGCAGACTATTCTTACTTGCTTTTCTTCTCACTATTTAAAAAGGATTTTTGCTTTTTTTTTTTTTTTTTTTACAATTTCTTCTTCTCTTCCCTTCTTAGTTCTCATTCCTCCTGCACAACCTCATCCCATGTACCTTAGAACACTGAGGAAGATGCCAATTGGATTGCTCCTTCCAAATCCCAAAGTATTTTCTATATTACTGGTACAAAGAGCAAACCTGGTGGTGCATTTTTAGGATGAGTCCAACCACTCAAGTCTAACCATTTGGATGCCAGAAACATGGAAACAGAATCAGTTCCAGTTCTCTCATTCCCATGTGAGCCTAAGATACCGGAAGGTGACTGCCCTCCAGAGCTTCCATTTCCTTATGAATGAGATAATGATGGCTGATCTTTCTTTCATAGTTCCTGGAACCTGGTTGGGAGCATTTCAAAAGCCAGGGGGTGAGGGAAGACAAAGACCAGCATGGCTGTGCGGGTAGCCCATTTCTGGGGTCCACTCACCTCCAGGTACACCACCCAGGGCATCACCAAAGTTGCCACGAGTAGATCTGCCACAGCTAGACTCACCACCAGGTAGTTGGTGGTGGTCTGCAGAGCCCTCTCCCTCAGCACGGCGACACACACTAGTCCATTGCCAAAGACGATGGCAAGGATGAGCGCGCAGTAGGAGAGGGCATAGTAGGAGTGTGGGCGGGCACAGCTGGGAGTCGTGGCGTTCTCTGCCTCACAGGTGAAGTTGATGTGGCCACTCAGCTGGCTCAGAGGTGCCATAGTCCAGGGGGAAGGAGTGATCCCAAGGTGTTTCCTGGGAGGAGACATAAAATAGCGGCAGAAAATTCAGACTTTTGTAACTTAGATGCTTGGGTATATATTTTGATTTGTGGCCTTAGCAAATACTTATTGAGCACTTCCTACATACAAGACTTGGTTCCAAACATGGAAAATTACAGTAACGAACAAAAGGAATAAAATCTCTGCTTTTGGGGCTGGAGCAATAGTACAGCGGAGAGGGTGTTTGTCTTGCACGCAGCCAACCCGGGTTTGATTCCCAGCATCCCATACGGTCCCCTGAGCACCGCCAGGGGTAATTCTTGAGTGCGGAGCCAGGAGTAACCCCTGTACATCCCCAGGTGTGACCCAAAAAGCAAAAAAAAACCCAACTCTGCCTTTAAGAAGCTGCTAGTCTGTGTATGTTGGTGGGGATGTGGTGACAAAGGAACTCATCCTCTGCTGATAAAAATGTTTTTTGGTTCAACGCTTATGGAAAATAGTATAGAGGCATCTCAGGAGAGAAAGAATAGAGATGTCATATGAGCCAGAAATTTCACTTCTTTGTATCTATATTCAGGACACAAAACTTGATTTAAAAGGGCATGTACACAACAATATTCATTGTATCATTTAGGACAATAGCTAGGATATACAATTGATCAAGGTGTCCAACAACAGATGAGTGAATAATAAAGGTGTGGTATATACATATGCAGCTGTAAGAAAGGATGAATTCCTGCAATTCCCTGCGACTTGGATGGACCTGGGGAATATTCTGTTAACTGAAGTAAGCCAGAGAAAGAAGACAAATACTAGATGATCTCACTACTCTGTGGTACATAGAATAACAGGGCAAAGGAATGCAAGATATCAGAGGAGAGATACCTAGATTACCCCGATCCCTAGGTCATAGAACCTGAGAAAGATAGGGAAGGTAAGAAACTGAGGCCGGAAGAACACATTAATGAAATGGGGCAGGGGTCTTGGATACAAGACCTCTTGGATGCAATGGCAGTGTAGAGTTGTGGTACAATACAACTAAACATGGGTCTAAATTACAACAATGAAACAATTAAACTGTACCTGGCAGGGGTTGGAGCAACAGTACGCTATGGAACAATGGTAGATAGGGAATTTGCCTTGTATGAAGTGGACCCAGGATTGAGCCCCAGATTCCCACATGGTCTGCTGAGCACTGCCAGGAGTAATTTATGAGTGCAGATCCAAGAATAATCCCTGAGCATCCTGGGTGGGTGATGCAAAGCAAACAAGCAAACAAGCAAACAAACAAACTAACCACACATATATACCTGTCAAGGAGACAGGTTGGGAGGTGGTGGGAGGAAAATGGGACATTGTTGGAAGGAAGTTAACATTGGTGATGGGGTAGGGGCTGAGATGCATGACTGGCCTCCTATGTGTAACTTCTAGTTAAAGGAATCAGGTAGTCCTCATGAAGAAGATGACAACTGTGTTAAGCAGGGAAGGACACTGGGTCCAGGATTGGTTCAGTGTTTGAGCCACTGGCCTCCCAGGTGTAAGATCCTGGGTTTGATTCCCAGAAATAACAAGATAAATGAATGAATAAATAAATAGAAGACTTAGAGAACATAAATCAATAGAGAAACCTAAGGAAGAAGGTGTTTATAGCAGAAAGAATAAGGTACAAAGACAGGCAGATTGGCAGGTTGAGAAGACATTAGGGAGGACAGTGCCACTAGAGCCAAGTAGGGGAGTTGTGTTAGGCAGGAAGGACATGTCTTAGGGCCCAGAGTTAGGAAAAGCAACAACGGGGATTCTAATCCTGGAATGATTCCTGGTCCACACAGAGTCCAGGCGTGGTTCTCTTAATGATTTATGCTTGGGCTCTGGGTGAGAAAGGGAGCAGTTTCAGGATTAGAATTCCAGCTACTTTCCATGTCCTAATTTTGGAGTCTCAGAATTACTTCTTTCTTCTGAGCTTTGGTTTTCCTGTCTGTAAGAGGGAAAGAATGGAACCCATCACTTAAGTGTTTTCTGAGGAACACTTAAGGTCAAACATGGACTTCCAGGTTGTTATGAACTCAGCAGGATTAAACATTTTATTTAGTCAGTTATTTGTAACAATTGCAAAATATTTGGATTTTCAGAGTACTTAGACTATGATAAGAAATAAGAAATTCAGATTTGAAAATAAGTATGATTATTCACAGATGATGTGATTATATATGTATATATAGATATATACATGTACATCTATATATAGATATTAATATCCCTAGGGTTTAGGGATATATTTAGGGACATATATCTCTAAAGTTTTCACTTAAAAAACATTAGAAACAAGGAATAAGTGACGGGGTACAAAATGAAATATGCGAATGTATGTTTCACTCTTTGTGAAAATGAGTGAAAAGGAAAAGAAATTCATAAAACAGTCCCATTTATCATCACATCAAAAAGTATTAAATACCTAGGAATAAGTTTAACAAGGAAGGTAAAATACATATGTAATAAAAACTGTAAGACAAATAAAATATAAGAAAAAGATACAAAGGAATGAAAAATATTGTCCATGTTCATGATTAGAGAGAATTAATAGAGTCAAATATGTATCTTACAAAGGAAATATGCATATTTATTTGAAGACTTATCAAAATTCATGATATTTTAAAAGAAAATATATCAAATATTAAACATTTTATGGAACAACAGAAACCCCTGAATAGCAAAGGCAATTTTGAGAAAAAAAAAAGAAGAAAAATGCAGAATTTGGGGATATAATTTAGAAACCAAGACCATATAAAGGGAATAGGAAAATTTCTTCAACAGCATTGGGAAAAGTACATAGTCATATGTAAAAGAGAGAAACCAGAGCTGTCTATAACTTCATCCATAAAGTATAAATTCAAATTGATTTAAAACCTGAATATAAGACCTCAATATAAGAAATCCGTAAAATACAATAGAACTTTTTTCTCTGCCCTGACGAGGCCCCAAGTTGCAGCCCATGAATGGCTCCTCCAGCTCCTGAATGGCCATGATCCCTGAGGCACACAAACCAATCTCGGAACCCAGTGGCTTTTGGCATAAATCTCTCCATACTTATTACTAAAATATCAGAAATCCAAAATTGTGCGGCTGCTATCGCCACACATCATATGCTCTTCATAATCAGCAATAGAAAACAAATTATCTAATGATGCTTTTTTGGCAGGTCTGATTGTTGGGGAAAATTCCAAATAATAATGGTGGGTCTTTTGTTGTAATATTGAATGTGATAAAAGTGAAGAGAGAGTAAAGTGGAAATCATCTGCCGCACAGACAGGGGGAGGGGTGAGATGGGGGTTATATTGGGTGGAAAATGTGCACTGGTGAAGGGATGGGTGTTTGATCATTGTATGACCGAGACTTAAACTGGAAAGCTTTGTAACTGTTCTCACAGTGGTTCAATAAATAAAAAATAAAAAAATACAATAGAAGAAAACATTGAAATATGTTTCATTTAATACTATTAGTGATAGAGAGGGCATTGGGAACTCAACCCCAATGTCAATGAATAAAATGTATGTAACCGGGACACACCAAATTGAAGTTTATGAGTAGTGAAATAAAATAACAGTAGAACAGAAAAACCTGAATAGGTGAATATATTTGTGCATCATTAATACTATAGGATTAATATCCAAGATATTATACAGAGTTTATGGAACTTAACAATGAAAAATAACACAATTGAAAAATAGGCAGAACATCTGATAAGACTTTTTTTTCAAAGAGAACATTCAATTGGCCAATAGACATAAAAAAAAATTCTCATGATCACTTATTATTAGGGAAATGCAAACCAAAGTCATAATAAGTTCGTGGGATATAGTGTAGAAGTTGAATTTAGTCCTTGCCTGTGTGAAGCTTTGGACTAAAGCTCTGGCATCACAAAAATACATACAAACAAATAAGCAAAAAACCCCCATATGAACAAACCATGCAAGACCATGATAACAAAGGATTTATTTATTTATTTTTTTTTTTATTAGTGAAAAACCATGAGGTACAGTTATAGGCTTACAAATTTTGTGCTTGGGTTTCAGTTATACAATGATCAAGTCCCCATACCTCCACCAGTGCCCGTCATCCATCCCCATGGGTCCCAGCATCCCCCCCCCTCATCCCCCCCCCCCCCGTCCCATCCTGCCTCTGTGGCAGGGTATTCCCCCTTGTTCTCTCTCTCTTCTTTTGGGTACTGTGTTTTGCAAGAGAGGCTTTGAGTGGCAATCATGTTTGGTCTATCGACTACTTTTAGCATGCTTCTCCCACCCTGGGAGGGCCCTCACAACACCCTTCATTTGGTAATCTCTTCTCTATCTGAGCTTCCTTTTCACCTAGAGCCTGTGGCTGGCCTTCCATTCATGGGGCAAAATTCCTGGTACTAATCTCAGCCATTCCTGTGTGTCACTCTCACTTTTTGTTGCTTTATGTTCCCCAGATGAATGCAATCTTTCTGTGTCTATCCCGCTCTTTCTGACTCATTTCGCTTAACATGATACTTTCCATGTAGTACCACTTGTATGTAAATTTCATAACTTCATCTTTTCTAACAGCTACATAGTACTCCATTGTGTAAATGTACCAAAGTTTCTTTAACCAGTCATCTGTTCTTGGGCACTCAGGTTTTTTCCAGATTCTGGCTATTGTAAAGAGTGCTGCAATGAACAAACAATTGCAGATGTCACTTTGACTATACCTTTTTGCCTCTCTGGGATATATTCCCAGGAGTGCTATAGCTGGGTCAAATGGCAGATCAAATTCTAATTTTTTGAGAGTCGTCCATACTGTTTTCCAAAAGGGTTGGACCAGCCGACATTCCCACCAGCAGTGAAGGAGGGTCCCTTTCTCGCCACATCCGCGCCAGCACCGGTTGCTTTTGTTCTTGTGGATGTGGGCCAGTCTCTGTGGTGTGAAATGATATCTCATTGTGGTTTTGATCTGCATCTCTCTGATGATTAGTGATGTAGAGCATTTTCTCATGTGCCTTTTTGCCATTCGAATTTCTTC